GAAAGATATATAGGGACTTTGGTGCACCATTTACCTTAAATCCGACGAAGATATATATGTGAGCTATATCTAAATCTGAACCGATTTTCTCGAAACTTGGTTCACATCATTCTAGGCTTAATTAATCCGTTTCAAAAAATTTACATTTCATCCAAACTTTGTCCATCTTATTATATCTTCCTATCTTAGTTCAAATTCGAAGATGGGGAGCATCGGTCCACTTCTTCTGGAACCTCCATACGGGCACTAGGTCTGGTTCGATAGTTCATTACCGAACCTAACGTTCTAGTTTTTTTATCTCGATATCCTCCGCAGGTGAAAAGATTACAACAGAGTCTTAGAACCAAACCCAAAACACAGAACAAATCAGATAACGATTTTAATATAAAAAATGGGGTTATATGGGGACTACCCCAAAAAGGGGACAAATATGAATTAATTTTGGTATGGAGATTTGTTACCACATACGACTACAAAATACAAAATTGCAGCGAATTCGGTAGAAAAACGCGCTTAAGAAACCCAAAATACCGAAAATTGGGGTACCCTTATATAGGTGCTATCCGAAAAAATGGACATATGTTCATAATTTTTTGTGGAGAGATTTGGAACCTATTAAGAACTCAAAATACTAAATTACAGCCAATTCGATGGAAAAGTACCATCAAGACCCCCAAAATACTGAAAATTAGGAGGTACCGTTTTAAGGGGGCTACCAGAAAAAGTTGACCGATATTTAAAATTTTTTGGTGGAGACATTTAGTATCCAATAAGAACCCAATGTACCAAATTTCAGCACATTCGATTAAAAAACGCTCTCAAGAACCCCAAAATACCGACGATTGGGTGTACCCCTATATGGGGGCTACCCGAAAAAAATTGACCTTTGTTCATAATTTTTTGTGGAGAGATTTGGAACCTATTAAGAACTCTAAATACTAAATTAGAGCTAATTCGGTGGAAAAGTACTATCAAGACCCCCAAAATACTGAAAATTAGGAGGTACCGTTATAAAGGGACTACCAGAAAAAGTTGACCTATATTTATAATTTTTTGTGGAGACACTTATTACCCAATAGGAACCCAATATACCAAATTTCAGTGAATTCGTTTGAAAAACGCGCGCAAGAACCCCAAAATACCGAAAATTGGGGTACCCTTATATAGGTGCTATCCGAAAAAATGGACATATGTTCATAATTTTTTGTGGAGAGATTTGGAACCTATTAAGAACTCATAATACTAAATTACAGCCAATTCGGTGGAAAAGTACGATCAAGACCCCCAAAATACTGAAAATTAGGAGGTACCGTTATAAGGGGGCTACCAGAAAAAGTTGACCGATATTTAAAATTTTTTAGTGGAGACATTTAGTATCCAATAAGAACCCAATGTACCAAATTTCAGCACATTCGATTAAAAAACGCTCTCAAGAACCCCAAAATACGGAAAATTGGGGCGTACCCTTATATGGGGGCTATCCGAAAAAAAGGACCTTGATTCATATTTTTTTGTGGAGAGACTTGGTACCTATTAAGAACTCAAAATACTAAATTACAGCCAATTCGATGGAAAAGTACCATCAAGACCCCCAAAATATTGAAAATTAGGAGGTACCGTTATATATGTGGGCTACCAGAAAATATGGACCTATACTTATAATTTTTTGTGGAGACACTTATTACCCAATAGGAACCCAATATATCAAATTTCAGTGAATTCGGTTGAAAAACGCGCTCAAGAACCCCAAATTACCGAAAATTGGGGCGTACCCTTATATGGGAGCTATGCCTAAACGTGAACCGATATATCCTATCTTCGAACTTGACTTCCATTCCACATGCGATATTTCGTAAGAATTGGTCCATAAACGTGGTCTGTAGCGTGTTCACAAATTATAATAGACGGACGAACGGATGGACAAACGGACACGCATGTCTAGATCGACTCAGCTAGTCGAGATATGACGATCGGTATACTTCCTGGTGGGTCTAGGACCAATATTTCACGGCGACAACATAATTGTGCAGGGTATAAAAACCCATGCCTTGGAAAAAAACATATTTCAAGGCATGCCCCGAATGCTGTAATTTTCGCAAACCCCTATGCCAGTATATGTGTGTCTGTGTACAATTTACATTTGTTCAAACATATGTAGGTAATTTGTTTATCTGCGTACAACAAATGTTTTGCCCAGTTAAATGTGAGAAATTCATACAATGTTGTATGTATGGATGTGTGTGAGTATGTGTGTATGTATGACATGTTATGCAAAGTCTTTGAAATTTTTGGTTTCATAAGATTTCAGAACATATTTGTGGCAAAATAAAAAATTATTTTCTGGTCATGTCAAGAACATAACTTAATTATGTTTAGGAAAGTGTAATGAACACAATTTGTTTGGCCAGTGAAGAGAATATTTTTACAGCCGAACAAATGGAATCACAATTGAGAAGCAAAGGAATGCCATCTAGTGGGGGAAAATGTACCAACATCCCTGGGGGTATTTAATAATCTCTATTGTCATTGTGGTAACAGCACCTAACCTTAGCCCTTAACCTCAAATTACCCATCGGATCACTTAAGCCTTTCCTTTCCCCCTAATTACATTCAATATTCTTGACATTCGAATATTTTCGAAAAGTAAAATCACCCACAACTTAATTGGACAATAATTACTTGGAATTAAGTGTTGGTTACTTGTGAATGTGTGGGTGTGAGTGTGGTTGAGTATAGAAAGAACCAAACGGAAGTCCTTTTGGTGAAGAGGTCAATAACAATAAAATTTTATTATCCGGAAAGTTAAATGTCATCGAAAGAGGAGGACTGAAGGGTTAGAAATTAAGCCATTTTAAAAGGATGCCAGGATAATGAAACAACAAATATTTAAAAGGTCCGCACAAGGCGTGGATTTTTTAAATTTTTTAAGCCATCCACAAATTCTTGTGACCCTTAAAAAAAAAATATTTTTTCCCTTTAATATATGTTCCACATTACAAAACATCCATTTGAGTGCTTCGAAGAATCATCTCGTCTGGAAAATTCTCCATGTTCAATTTACTTTTAAATAAATTTTATTCAATTATAAACCTCCTTTGTGTAACTCGGCTGTTTGGTGAAGGGAGGCATATTTCTCCTCTTCGATTTGTTTGGGAAAATTCGTTGAAGTGTGTAATCAATGGTCAAAGAATTTTATGTTCAGATAATGGAAAGTAAAAGTCATTTACAGTTTTGGTTTAATTTACATTATAAAATTAAATCTCCGTAAGAGTTCGAAATTTTATGGTTTCAATACAGCATTGATTTACTTAACAAGGTCTAGTGGCTTGTTAAAAGTTTGGCAGAAGTTTAAGCAATTATCGAGTGGAAATTGTTTAATGGCAATTATTTAATAATGTGATCCATTTAAAATAAATTGTGGCGTATAACTGCTGACAACGTTTCAGGCAGATGTTGTGGCGTATGACTAATGACAGCACTCATACGCTATTGGAATCTTAAATGGTCTCAACAAATATTTTTCAATAAATCCACGCCTCTTCGGGACCCCTAAAAATATTTTTTAATAAATCCACGCCTCTTCGGGGCCCTAAAAATATTTGTTAATAAATCCACGCCTCTTCGGGACCCCTAAAAATATATCTTAATAAATCCACGCTTCTTCGGGACCCTTAAAAATATTTGTTAATAAAACTACGCCTTTTTGGGGCCCCTAAAAATATTTGTTAATAAATCTACGCCTCTTTGGGCCCCTAAAAATATTTGTTAATAAATCTACGCCTCTTTGGGGCCCCTAAAAATATTTGTTAATAAATCTACGCCTCTTTGGGGCCCCTAAAAATATTTCTTAATAAATCTACGCCTCTTTGGGGCCCCTAAAAATATTTATTAATAAATCTACGCCTCTTTGGGGCCCCTAAAAATATTTATTAATAAATCCACGCCTCTTCGGGACCCCTAAAAATATTTTTTAATAAATCCACGCCTCTTCGGGACCCCTAAAAATATTTTTTAATAAATCCACGCCTCTTCGGGACCCCTAAAAATATTTTTTAATAAATCCACGCCTCTTCGGGACCCCTAAAAATATTTTTTAATAAATCCACGCCTCTTCGGGACCCCTAAAAATATTTTTTAATAAATCCACGCCTCTTCGGGACCCCTAAAAATATTTTTTAATAAATCCACGCCTCTTCGGGACCCCTAAAAATATTTTTTAATAAATCCACGCCTCTTCGGGACCCCTAAAAATATTTTTTAATAAATCCACGCCTCTTCGGGACCCCTAAAAATATTTTTTAATAAATCCACGCCTCTTCGGGACCCCTAAAAATATTTTTTAATAAATCCACGCCTCTTAGGGGCACCTAAAAATATTTTTTAATAAATCCACGCCTCTTAGGGGCCCCTAAAAATATTTTTTAATAAATCCACGCCTCTTAGGGGCACCTAAAAATATTTTTTAATAAATCCACGCCTCAGTTGGCCCTAAAAATATTTTTTAATAAATCCACGCCTCAGTTGGCCCTTGAAAAATATTATTTAATAAATCCACGCCTCAGTTGGCCCTTTAAAAATATTTTTTAATAAATCCACACTTCTTGGGGCCCCTAAAAATATTTTTTAGTAAATCCCGACCTCTTTGGAAAGCCTAAGAAATATTATTTAAAAAATACTCGAAAAAAAATTGTCTTAAATTATTTTTTTAATTTCTTTATATTTCTATAATTTTTTCATCCCACTCTAATATCCATTATGATAATACAAAATGAAAACTGATCTAGCCATAGTGTCTTAAATTAAATGGTTTAACCAAATTACAATACCCAACGATAGCCGCAGCTCTCCATCGAACTAGGCAACCAGCTAGCCATCCAACCAACCCATCCATTGCTGCTATCCCGCCATCTATCCTGCCCAATATTACATTACCAAATCATTGTAATGTGTTCACATAACTGTAAACACAATGACGCAGCATCCTCCACCCTCGTACACGGAATTAAACTTCTTTACATTTCTCATCCATCAGCAGCACCCGGGTACTGCCCACATTCTGTGCGGCACTGTACAGCATCTCATAAATATGCGTCGTATCAGCATTTTCCCGTTGGGTTCGTTCATGCAGCAAGCGTACAGCTTCCAAATATGCATCGTACTTTGATGAATTTTCAAAATCCTTTTTAAAATCCATATACAGCTGCTGTATCTCCATGAGTTGGCGCGAGCCATCGGTGGCATTCACTAGGAGTATGGGTGCCTCTGGCAGCATGGCCTCCCACTCGCCATGGGTATAGTCGATAAATTCAAAATTACTAAAGAGAAAGGCGACAATGAGATCTAAACCTTTTTGTTTTAATTTTTCAAATATGGCCACCAAATCCTGTTGGGAATTTTCGGTATTTTGAAATTCCTCGACATCGAGGGACATGTGATTCTGCAGGTAATCGTAGAGCCTTTGACGTTTACTATAGAAATCAGTGGTGTTGAGCAGATGGCCAATTTCGGCCAAGATTTTTTCCAAGGCCTCATTGTGGCTGGCCGAAGTTTCCTCCTTATTTTCCAAGACCTCCTGCAAAAGTTTGCCAATGACCACCAAGTAGTCATCTATTAATTCCGCACCAGTGTGATTCACCTTGTGATAGAGCTGTTCCCCGAACTCTTTTACATTAATGGAGATGGTGTGATTATCCTTAATGCCCAATTTCTCCAAGGCATTGGCCACCGATTCCTCCATCATAGGGGCCAATTGCACATTTTTGGCATAGAGATTATGATGCGGAACCTCCTTCTCCTGGGTCACATTGCCATTTACATTATACTGCTTACATATGTAGTAGTATCGCAGATTGTGCATTTCCTCGAAGCTCTCCTCCTGCAGGTCATAGAATCGATCCTTCAACTTCTCGAGGAACAGAACATTCCTAAGGCCATACATATTTTCCCGATTCGCATCACGATGTTCGGACAAATCGAACCATTGCTTAAGGAAGACCACCTTGCTTCCCAACTTCTTTGAATTCAATGCCGCTGACAAAGCCTGATCAAAAGTGGGATCTTCCATTTTTTGACCCGAAGATTTGAGTTCTCTCAGATACTTATTCATGGCCTGCATGGCAGAACGTTTCATAACACGACTCAGCTCCTGTAGGAAATCTTTTTGGAAATTTCTTGAAAGCAACGAGGATTCCAGGCCATGGGAGAACTAAAAAGGTAGACCCAAAAATTAGAAGAAATTAAATGAAAACATTATTTCCACCTCTCACCTGAATATTTCCGGCCAATAGGGCTAGGAAAATAATAAATATTTTCATTTCCGTTTCAAAATTATTTTTTTACTCTAATAATCCGTTATTGTAAATGTCTGAATTTACACTAAATTCTATTTCGAAAAGATTAACAACGGAATAGCCCCCGTCCATTGACGGCGGAAAGGTCAAGCCGTGTTATCACATGAGAGAGAATAACAAAACAAAGAAACAATCAAAACAAATCCCATATTTGGCCTATATTCTCAGTGGGAATGCAACAGAGGCGTGGAATTTAGGGAAAATTAAAAAAAATAGAATACCCAAAGAGGCGTGGATTTATTAAAAAATATTTTTAGGTGCCCCTAAAGAGGCGTGGATTTATTAAAAAATATTTTTAGGTGCCCCTAAAGAGGCGTGGATTTATTAAAAAATATTTTTAGGTGCCCCTAAAGAGGCGTGGATTTATTAAAAAATATTTTTAGGTGCCCCTAAAGAGGCGTGGATTTATTAAAAAATATTTTTAGGTGCCCCTAAAGAGGCGTGGATTTATTAAAAAATATTTTTAGGTGCCCCTAAAGAGGCGTGGATTTATTAAAAAATATTTTTAGGTGCCCCTAAAGAGGCGTGGATTTATTAAAAAATATTTTTAGGTGCCCCTAAAGAGGCGTGGATTTATTAAAAAATATTTTTAGGTGCCCCTAAAGAGGCGTGGATTTATTAAAAAATAAAAATTTAAAAATTTTTTTTGCCAGGTCTTAAAGTCACCAGTGATTTATTTCCTTCCCCCTGTTTTTTAAAACAGACTCCTGTGTATTTTTTGTCATGACCTGTTTGTCGATGGTTGTTCATGAAATAAACTTGACTTCGTTTTTTACTCGAACTAAGTTCTTGGCAACCGAAGAGATCCTCTTGTTTATTAGTGATATTTAGTTGTTGTTGGTGTTGTGTTCTGTTTTTTGTTGTTGTTATTTCCATCTGTTTATTTAGTGGAAATTTCCAACGAAGTGGTAAGGGCAGTTAATGAACCATTTTTTTAGTTTGACAATAAATTATTAGCGGGATAACTAATAGGCCATGTCCGTTGGCCATAGTCCTGGTACTTTTTAAATAAATTTAAAAAAAATCCACGCCTTGTGTAGGACCCTTAAAAATTTATTTTAAATCAGGGAGCGAAGCATTATAGTCGGACGACCATACGATACCCTACACAACTACCACGGAACTCCATCATTCTGAGGATGAGCCATGGAAATGGGTTACTAAATAATATATGAATACGCACGTACACGTAAATATTTAAGTGTAACTCCCACATCTGAGTACATACGACCATATAATTGGTATCAATTTAAAGGTCAACCACTCCTCTTGGATATACTATCGACTTCTCGGGTCTATGTACTTCAGGGGTACATATATACGCTAAAGAATACAAACTTTGTAATTTAACACCCAAAAGTAAGGATCCATTTGACAACATAGTTGTGTAGGGTATAAAAATCCACGCCCTGTGAAGGACCCTTAAAACTTAATTTAAAAAAAATCTACGCCTTGTGTAGGTCCTTTAATTGATATACTCTTCACCACACTGTGGTACAGGGTATTATGTCTTTGTGCATATGTTTGTAACAGGCAAAAGGAAACGAGATAGACACATGGTTAATTTTGAGAATATGCATATAATCACTTTCTGAATCGATTTATGCATGTCCATCCATGTATTTTTGTGAAATGAGTACAGGTCGCATTTATGATCCGATTTCGATGAAATTTGGCATAGATCACTTATCTGGCCCAAGGACGAACCCTATTGAAAATGGGAAATATCGGTTCAGATTTAGATATAGCTCCGATCAGGGACGTACGCGGGGCGGCGGCCCGGGGGACCCTGGGCTTCCACCCACCCCCGCCCCCGAAATGAATTTTTTCACAGTAAATTTATGTTTGCAACAGCGATTTTTTTCATTTTGTACAGATCGGTCCAGATTTAGATGTAGCTCCCATATATAGTATTGTCCGATTTAATGTAAATGGTCCACCAAAGTCCCTATATATCTTTCGGTGTGCACGAAATTTGGCACAGCGTAATGAATTAGGTATACAATGATGTGTGTTAAGTTTCCTGAAAATCGTTTCAGATTTATATATAGCTCCCATATATATTTTCGTCCGATTAAATGTACATGGTGCACCAAAGTCCCTATATATCTTTCGATTTGCACGAAATTTGGCACAGCGTAATCAATTAGGTCTAGAATGATGTGTGAAATGTTTTCTGAAAATTGGTTCAGATTTAGATATAGCTCAGATATATATTTTCGTCCGATTTTAGGTAAATAGTGCACCAAAGCCCCTATATATCCTTCGATTTGCACGAAATTTGGCATAGCGTACTGAATTAAGTCTAGAACGATGTGTGTAAAGTTTCGTGAAACTCGATTGAGATTTAGATATAGCTCCCATATATAGTTTCGTCCGATTTAAGGTAAATGATGCACCGAAGTTCCTATATAACATTCGATTTGCACGAAATTTGGCATAATGTACTGAATTGAGCCTAGAGTGATGTCTGCCAAGTTTCGAGAAAATCGGTGCAGATTTAGCTATAGCTCCCATATATATTTTCGTCCGATTTAATGTAAATGGTGCACCAAAGTCCCTCAATATCTTTCGGTTTGCACGAAATTTGGCACAGCGTACTGAATTAGGTCTAGAATGATGTTTGTTAAGTTTCCTGAAAATCGGTTCAGATTTAGATATAGCTTATATATCTGACCAAATGAAAACTATTGTATCGGTTGCAGAATGATATGTTTAAGGGGCCAATTTCATTTTACTGGTCCTTTAAAAAGGCGACGTCTGTTAGGATTCATCTGTTGAATATACCCAAAGTGGTGGTCATATAGTCGGCCCCGTCCGACTTTACTACTTTCCTTACTGGTGTTTAACTGTGGCCTATATCGTGTTTACAAATTATAATGGACAGACGGACTGACGGACGGACGGACGGACACACATGTCTAGATCGACTCAGCTAGTCGAGATATGACGATCGGTATACATAAAGGTGGGTTTAGGACCAATATTTCGCAGCGTTACAAACACTTGGGTCTGCACAAATCTATAATACCCTGACGACATAGTTGTGTAGGGTTTAAAAAAATCCACGACTTGTGTAGGACCCTTAGAACTTAATTTTAGAAAAATCCACGCCCTATGTAGGACCCTTAAAATTTAATTTTAAAAAATCCACGCCTTGTGTAGGTCCTTTTGTCTTTTTTTTACTTCCACTTTTGAATTTTTATACCCTCCACCATAGTATGGAGGGTATATTAGTTTTGTTTTTCCGTTTGTAACGCATCGAAATAATCATTTCCGACCCTATAAAGTATATATATTCTTAATCAGCGTAAAATTCTATGACGATCTAGCCATGTCCGTCTGTCTGTCCGTCTGTCTGTTGTAATCACTCTAGCGTCTAAACGAATTGATATAGATCGCCAAAATTTTGCATGGAGTCGTCTTTTGTCTGCAGGTAGGTCAAGTTCGAAGATGGGCTTTATCGCTCCACGTTTAGGCATAGCTCCCATAAAAGGGTACCCCCCATATTTTCGGTATTTTGGGGTTCTTGAGCGCGTTTTTCAACCGAATTCGCTGAAATTTGGTACATTGGGTTCTTATTGTGTACTCAATGTCTCCACAAAAAATTATAAATATAGGTATACTTTTTCTGGTAGCCCCCATATAACGGTAGCTCCTAATTTTCAGTATTTTGGGGGTTTTGAACGTATTTTTCCGCCGAATTAGCTGTAATTTAGTATTTTGAGTTCTTAATAGGTACCAAATCTCTCCACAAAAAAATATGAATATAGGTCCATTTTTTCGGATAGGCGCCATATAAGGGTACCCCCCAAATGTCGGTATTTGGGGTTCTTGAGTGCGTTTTTCAACCGATTTCGCGGAAATTTGGTACATTTGGTTCTTATTGGGTGCCAAATATTTCCACCAAAAATTATAAATATAGGTCCAATTTTTCTGGTAGCCCCCATATGAGGGTACCTCCAATTTTCGCTATTTTGAGGTTCTTGAGCACGTTTTTCAACCGAATTCGCTGAAATTTGGTATTTTGTAGTCGAATATGGTAACAAATTTCTCTACAAAAAATTTTTAATATGCACCCCTTTTTTGGGGTAGTTCCCATATAACCCCTTCTTTATATTAAAATAGTTATGCAATTTGTTCCGCGTTTTGGGTTTGGTTCTAAGGCTCTGTTGTAACTATATCACCTAGAACGTAAGGTTCGATAATGAACTATATATGAACTATAACCCGTATTTAAACCTAGCCCCTGTGTGCGAGTTACCAGAAGGAGTGGACCGATATTCCCCATCTTCGAATTTGAACTAAGTTTGGAAGAAATAATAAGATTGGCAAAGTTTGGATGAAATGTAAATTTTCTGAAACGGATTTGGTCCAAAGAAATATGGGGTCTAGAACCAATATTTCGATGAGGCACATTTTCACGGTGTAAATTGTATACACCCTCATTAGCCCTAAGGCTGAGGGCATAATTATCCATTAAAAATTTCTGAAATTTGTATTATAGTTTACATAGAAATGTCGGTATAGGTCCAAATTTTGGTATGTTCCCTATATTTTCATTTCTAGTACCTGTCAATATATCTATGGTGGAGGGTATCCAAAGTTCGGCCCGGCCGAACTTAACGCTTATTCACTTGTTTTTGTTTTGAATATTTTCCTTAATAAATTCTCCTTAAAGGATCCTTGACAATTGAAGTTCTCAACAACCATATTAGAGACAACAACAACAGCGCTAAACTTCATTGTGACCATTTCAACTCTTTATTGTTGAGTTGATGTTGTTGCAGCTCCTTTTGCCTTTGGTCCTGTGGCAATTGTCCCAGTTGTTTGTTGTTGTTGCTTCTGCTGAATTGTTTGTTTGCAATTCGATTTCATGCATCATAAACTAGATGGCAAGCAAATGCAGCTGATGACCAGACTCAGATAAAAACCGAAGAAGTTGTAGAAAAAGCAACGGCAGG